CCTCTCTGAACTCATAGAAAACGAATAAAGAAGTAGGATGCTATATACAGTAGAAGATAACAAAAGTACTGAGTGGTTTAACAAAGGATGATCTAACACCAGTCACGGAATGCAATCTCTCTATCTAAAGCCACCAGCACCAAATCCACTAAGTGTTTTCCAAGTGGACATTACACAAACAGTACAACTTACCTTTAAGAAAGACTTATTCCAAGCCAATTGAGTTTAGGCAAGCCTTCCTGGCCATTTCAGCCATCTGACAACCTATCTCATGCTTTTTCTAAAAGCTCTGGCATGGCTCTCCTCAGCCAACTCCTTTTATGCAGCTGTCTGATCACATCTTTGACACACCAAATTAAACAGAGAATACATTTTACTCAGTTCTCATACCAACCCCACTAGGCAATATCAGCACATACCACATTTCCAGAATTCTCTGCTCTTCCCTCTCTTGCAGACTCTGCAGCTTCACCTTCTAAGCACCTCAATCATATGCTTTACTTTAACTTCCACTGCTCGCCCAAACTCCATTCCTTGCTCATTTATTTAAAATTAGCAGATAAAAATTCCATGCTGTTAGTCAAAGGCAGAGAAAAATTGGAGAAAATTCATTCCAGTGTCCACTGTCATTCTACACTTAATTTTCCTATTGCAAGAGGATACTAGGAAATTCTGGAAGCAGCTTGTGGAATGTGTGCGTAAGGGGTGGGGGCTGAAGGAGAGAAGTGGAGACAGGAGCTTCTTTTAAGTTCCTTTATAGTGACTAGTCCTGCAAGGAGGAGACATCCACTTAACATCAGATTCAATATAAAAAGTAGTATTGCAGGTTTCTGCATAAGGGCCCTTGGCAAACACCACCTGGAAGTGATGGGAACTGCATGCTTTCTGCAGCACTTACAATCTCTCCCACGAATATTAACATATAAAGCTCCTTCAACTTCCCACCTGATTTCCCTCTTAATTTCTGAGGCAGTCCAGAGCTCCACGACAGCTACACAGATGTAAGAAGATTCTCCAGGAGCCATTCCTTAATTAAATGGAAACAAGAGAGGCTGTGACAAAGAATAAAAATGCTGGGCCAGATCAGAAACATGTATACAAAATCAATCTCTAAAGTTGCATGCTGCATTTCTTCCTCAAAGAGAGCTGAGGATCTTACTCAGCTAACATTGCAAGTCCATGGACGAGGAAGCTGCCCTTCTTAAATGAATTCAACGGTTACTTCTACAACTTAACTCTTTCTTGCTTGAAATCCAACCTTGGATGGACCAAATTGTGAGTTCTCACAAATGCCATTTTGCACTTGAGGAAGTTATTCATGACAGGAAGCCTGAAGCATCATCTTCACATCCTTTCTATTTTCTCATCCCCTAGGTTAAAGCTTCAACATTTTGGTTTAATTCATATTAGCAAAAATGGAAATAAAATTCAGGTGTGGGCTTCAGCTACCACTGCTCCTTTGTGAGCTATTATGCCTCACACAGCACAACATAAACGAAGACTAAAAAAAAAACTGAAGCATCAGCTCTGCTTGATTGGAGGACTACAAGAATTTGTCAATAACGCAGACGCTCGCATGCAGTCTGCCAGATGGCAGCGGGCAGACGGGAACAGGAGAGGAAGTCAGAACTTCGCCTCAGCACGCGTAAAGATTTGTCACAGCCTGCAGTTTCACCAGTACCCAGCCAAAGTCTTTACTGTATACTTCTGTGCGCTGAAGGCAAGTGCTCCACCCCCAGCAAAACAGATTACACAATGGATTAAGAAGTCTGGAAATTCCCTACAGATTTGAAGTCTGGGTTCTAAGCAGTGAGGTGGACTTTGAATCGGATCCTCTCACAGAGAGGGTTCTCTACTTCTGCAACTAGATTTTATGCCTACCTTATCTATGGAAAGAACTAATTGTTCTCATTTATAAAGTACTATAACAAGCTTTCAGACTTCAATCACTTCCTTTAAAAACAGGAGGGAAGAGCAAAATTACAATTATTTTTTTATATTATTATATGACTTGATAAAAATATTGCAATAAAACCCTTTGAATCATTACAAGGAAAATAGAGCTCTACTGAGCCTATGAACAAAGTGCACAGGGGCAAAGTTTCTTTACTAGGCAGAACACAAAAAGCCAGAACCCTGCTTAATCCAAACACTGAAACAGAATTAATAACTGTTCTGTGCTGGCCTTCTGTATCTGGGGTGGGCAAGGTGGCTAGAAGTCAACTCACAGCTGGTATATGTTGTGACAGTATTTTGTTCCGTTTCGCTTCAGGTCCAGCCACAGACCAAATAAACCAATGTAAAAATAAAAAATTAAGAAAGTCAAATAAAGAATTTTCAAAGCAATCCAGCCAAGATTACCCCGTGTCAATACTCTTACCAGTATCCACTTCTACTGCCTGTATTCAATTTATAATGTATACAGAAAGCAGAAACCAAAGTTCTAAGCAACATAAATACAAGTATGCTGCAAATACACAGTAAATTCAGCCATCCCATTACACCTGCTTAGAAGAAATCAAACAGTACACGTAAGTTTCTGTAAGGATTTGAGGAGTTCTTCCATTCAGCTATCTGCCTACACAGTAATCAGCCATGTGCCTTCCTGGAGCATGACAAATGTGTTGCAGTAAATTCAGATGATCCTTACTCACTGGGAGACCCTCTTTTCTGAAAAATCTCTTCAGCCTCATCCTGTTTCCCTCACAAATGTACTTACACGGTCATTTTCCCAACTCTGGACAAACTAATGGAACTAATAGGAACAAATTACAGTGACATTCACAAGTAAGTTGGCCCCTTTTAATTATATTTAGTACCACAATCTGTATATTTTATTTTAAAAGCAGAGTAAATACTGCAGCAAACAATATAATTACATTAAGCTGCGAGAAGAATAGCTTTCCAGTGTTCTGAAATGGAATACAGACTTAAAAATGCATATGCTGTGTATCCTTTATTCCTAACCAAAATGTTTTTACAAGAAGAATTTCAATCTTACCTTGGCAGTTACAATTTGTTAACATTATCAACAATCTCCCACGGTAGAAAGGACTACCTGCAGCAACATTCATTCAGATGCTCTCTCAGACAATTTAGGATAAGTATGGAGCAGCTTTTAATTCAGCCTTATCTACAGAAATGCTGAATGCCACATTAGAAGAAATAAAGCCTTTCCAGATTAACGTATAAAGAGTCCGGCCATACAACACAAAGTTCTCATGTTTACAGAGCAAACAAAAACAAACCAAAAGCAAGGAATAACTGAAAACAACACTGCAGTCTCCAGGGCGTAGATTTCATAGGTTTTACACAAATTTATAGGCAAGTCATTTCATTAGTTTATTGCACTTCCTTGCCAACGATAAGGCTGGAGTTAACAAACAGTCAATGAGGTTTGCAGTCCTGAAGGACCTGTGGCTCCATAGGATGACAACTCCATGAGTTACAAGGACAAGCAAGGCTAAATTACATTTCTGGGACTAACAGAAGGATGAAACAAACTCACAAAAAAAAAAAAATCTCGGAATAAAGTTCTCCTGATTTTATGCAGGAAGACACATTTCAGGCAAACGATCAGGAAGGTTGATTCTTTGGGTGAAAAAGAACCAAGATACAACGCAACCAAAAAGAACCAAGACAGGACACAACTAGATCTAAATTAAATAGAAAACCGAGCTATCAGTGCAAATTTTTCTATGCCTGCTCATGGTCTCCAGTCTATAAACGCAACCTTCGGCACCTAGAAGCAGACAGCCCACCTCCTGAACAGCTCAGAGATGAGCAGGCAATTATTTGTTCTTCATACACTGGTACTGAGGTAATTGGTTTTGGGGAGGATGCAGCCACTTGGATAGCATACTATCTTTCCTGTGCTTGGATAACCAGTGTATCTCACCAGCAGTCGCCGACCTTCCTTCACAAATCTTCTGTCCTTCAGTTGGTCTAAACTGTTCCTTCATACATAACAGTTCCTTCTTAGCAGGCTAGAAAGAGCGTAATCTAGATAACATTTTTCTCCACTCAGTAAGAACAGAAAATGTCATTTAATAGACAAAACTTCAACCACAACAACTCAGATTCCAAAGACAGCAGCCCACGCATACCACAGCCAGCAGTGACCCCTACCCTGCTTCAGTTTTATTATTCAGCAGTAGAACCCACCTGTATCATGGAACAAAACACGCTTCTAGCACTTATCACCATCAGGATTTGGGGTATGCTTAAGATCTACATCTAAACTCTGCAGCCTGAGGCATTTACAGCACAGCCATCCTTGTTATCTGCCAATCTCTGCAATGCTAACTCACTTTTTTTTAATGCCAAAAAGAACTGAAAATTCCTTGTCCACAGTCCAAACCAATGACAAAAGAAATCCAGACCACAGGCATCCTTTCAACAGGTCACACACACCTTTCCAAGTCACGATTCACTACTCCTCCATCACAGAACCACAGAGGTTACATTACCTTCTGGTATTTTACTTAAATACCTAAAGTTGATTTTAAAATCGACTTCTCTCATTCAAGTCAGTTTTAATTTTGTCTCCATATTCCTGCAAGAGCTCAATGCTCGGGTCATCATTCTGCAATGAATGTGTTAGTCTCTTGTACTGAAGAGAACAGTCCAGTTCAAAAAGTCTGAACTGCTAATTTAAAATGCAGTTCCCCTCATTCCTACAAGCTCTGAAAAATCCATACATTTAGGACTAAGAGAATTCCAAGGTCCTACACGTTTTCGTGTAGGAAAGCAGAGAAAGCACGACTAGAATAAAACAAGCACTACACATGGTGCTCTTTCTATTCTCTCTCTTCAAGAAGAGGAAAGCACAAGAAACAACAAACTCTGTTGCAATCATAAAGCTATATACATTCCTGTGGTAGCATATCATAACATTTGCTGCTAATGTTAAGAGTGCACATAAGTGTTAAAAGCACACCAGAACATTCCTGACACAGAAGGCAGAAAATTGAAACAAAACAAACAAACAAACAACAAACCTTTGTCTTTCCTCTCTGGACTGTGCAGTCAACCTGTCCCAACTTCTTTCCATGTTACATCGGAACTTCCATGAGCATGACAAAAAAAAAAATGGAGGGGAGGGAACTGCAAAACCAGAGAGAGAAGGCTCCTCCCTGCGCTTTACATGTTGAGGGCTCTCAGCTAACTGATCACAAAGCAGCTTTTACAGCCCTTATTCAAACAGTTCGGCTCCAGGGTAACAAGTTCAAAGTGGGAGGAGGCAGAAAGAGTCAGAGGGCGGTAACAATCTTGAACAGACACTTAGCTGCTTTCATATCTGCAGAACCTGTTCTTCAGGTTGGAAACTGAAACATCTGCTTGTTGCCGCGTTTGAAAGCTGCGCTCCAAACCTCTTCCATAATACCAGCAGGTCTGCAGTGGCAAAACCAGGCTTAATAACACACAGACATGCAACATGTGGGAGGAAAAGTTAATCATTACTGCATGGTGCATTTGTTTTACGTTTTGGACTTCCTTGTATTAATGGCAGTAAAGCACTCACTCCCCTATCTGTTATAAGGAAGAGCTGAGAAGTGTGCAATGGAAACAAAGTCTGCACAGAAATTTCTGTCCCTCAGAACGATGTGAAGATCTTAGAGGAAGTAGAGAAGGCAAGAAAAGCGCTGAATGTCCATGTTTAAATTAGTGACTAAATATAAATCATTAAGTATACAACCTTGCCTACACCTTTGCTCATATGGGTTTAAGAAACTTCAAATGATGCTTTACTTATTGCAGCACTTACTCATTTTTCCCAATACAGGAAAATACCGCAGATGCTGTTTGCTAAACAAACAACCAGGACTCATCCTACACAGAGGTAAATTTCTTCGTGATGTTGCAATAACAATTAACTGCCCCAAAGCATATTAGAGCAGCTACATCGGATATGGAACATTTCCCTTCTTTCACTCAGGAGCATAACTTTCAGAACGTAGCAGAATCCGTTCAATTTGTCAGGAATAATCACATGCAGAAAAGTTAAACACATTTTAGCAGTTCTGGGAACAGAGTCTTGGCAGCTTGGGACCCAGGATGATGATAAGGAATAGTTAATATGTGAACTCAAAAAAAAAAATATTAGTAAATAATTAACAAAATGACCTCATGAAACTTTGTAGCAAGGAACAGATTGAATGGATGCAAAACCAAAGCAATTACCATAAATCAATTAAAATTGCTGGCAGTTTGGATTTATAAGCGTTGCTAAGGTTGGTTTGGGTTCTCTGTGGCAAAAACAGCCACTTACCAAAAAGCAGAAATAGACTCCACCACTCACATCGTCCTCCAAACCATGGGTTTATTTTCTCATTCTTCTTGGATCCACTTTGACTACCCCGTTTATTTTAAAGCTCTGCTATTATTTACTACAATAACAATTATTTAAGAAAAGAAAATCTGACCTTTGGAAGCCTCCAAAGCCTCGTCTTATCTTCAGCTTCACAAATGGTTTCCAATCTCCTAATTAAGAGCTCATTAGCCAGCATTTCAACTTTCAGGCTAAACTGACAGCTTCCTTGGCTTCTCCACCTGCAAAACCAAGAGAATCGTATGGAACAGCTTCAGCAAAACGGTGACAGAACACCTTGTAGACTCAAAAACCATATAATGAACACTAAGTTGGAATTCTCCCAAGCACTGTGACCAGCTATCAGCTTGGCTCAGCCAGTGCCACCAACAAAACACCCCTCTTTGTTCCCAGCTCCCCCTGGAATTCCTGTGTTCTAATGTTCTCACATGCAATCAGTTCAAGCCATCACTCCTCCATTGCAGATTGCCGCACAGCGCAGTGTGATCAAACTGCAGTCGGGATGCCTTCGCTGCACTGCATATGAAATATTGCAGCTGCAACCGTTTTTATGGGGAGAATGCCACCAAGACCCGTAATTCTAAATATCTTCATTTGTTCGTTGCTCTTCTTAACGATTGAGCTGTCAGGTACAAGGAATGATGGAACTTGGAGCAGAATCGAATCGAATCGCGCGGGGCTGTGAGGTGAACTCCAATTCTAAATGGGGCGATGGAAACCCGCTGGGCTGGCGCCTCAGGGCAGCTCCCCGGGGAGGGCGACGCAAACCGCTGTGCAAAGGAGGCGATCCGGGCAGTTTTCTGATACAGGAGCTCCCCCTGCTGGTTCACCAGAACAAACTTTCCAACACTTTTCCTTGATTGTATTGGTTGTAGAGCTACAGATGGAGCAATCTGTAGCAGCTGTTTTTAGGTCGCGTGCCCTTCTTTGCGTTACCAAACATATGTGGGACAGAACGCGTTATTGAAGCACGACATAAGATTCACCACAGCTTCACAGCCCGTATGGTGCAGTAAAACAGGCGAGCTGCATCGCTATGAGCAGAGCACTCAGCTCTGAGGCGGCGCGTGCCGTCACGGACACCGCTCACCTGAGGACAGCGCCCCCTTCAGCGGGAAGGCGGGAAGCGCAGCGCCAACGGTTGCCGAGCCGCGCGAGAACGAGGCGGGAACCACACCTGCCCTTCGGCTTCCCGCCCAGCCGCAGTGACGTCATCACTCTGCGCCGCGCCATGGCGCTAGGCCCCGCTGGGCCGGCTCGGCTGGTGCGCTGCGGGCAGAAGGACGAGCTGTACCGGAGCGGGCTGCGCAGCGGGGCCGGCACCGCGCTGCACGGGATCGCGGGTAACGTCACCCCTCCTGTGGATCCGTGCTGTACTGAGGTGACGCGGGGCGGGACGGCTCCATTCCTCAGGACGGTGCTGAGGGTTCCCGGCTGCGCGCTGCCTCACGGGGCCGGGCGGGGCTGGAAGCGCTGTCGGAGGAGAGCACGGATCAGTACGAATCTTACTTAAAATAACGATCCTGGTCTCTTAGGGGCTAAGAAGTGGCTGGAGTGGAGGAGGGAGATCGAGCTGCTCTCCGACGTCGCCTACTTCGCCCTCAGCACCCTGTCAGGTAACGCGCTGCGTGCTGTGCTGCCCTGCGGTGTTTCGGTGAACCCTGGCAGGCACGGATCTGCGGCCAGTGCTTGTCATTGAATAACTGTCAGAAGGCAGAGATCAAACCCAGCAGTAAATCCATACAATATGAATACAATATATCAATCTAGATACCTATGGTCTCCTGCCTTAAGCCTACAACCATTGCAGATACCCAGTGCTGGTGCAAATATGTTGCTCACCTCATTCAACCAAAAACAGTTATCTCTGGTTAAACTTTTAAACAGTTTAAACAGGTTAAACAGTTAAGCTTTGCAGCTGCTCTTCCTGAGCAGCCTGTTACCCCCCAGCCACACACTAAACTGCTTATTCTCTGTTACTCACATCTAGGCTATCAGACTCTGGGTGAAGAATATGTCAACATCATTCAAGTTGACTCAACCAAGAAAAGGGTGCCTTCTTTTCTTCGGCGGGCCATCTTCGTTTCTCTTCATACTGTAGTACCCTATTACTTAGAAAAGGGATTGCAGCACCTGGAACATGAATTGCAGATAGAAGATGATGGGGCTAGAACCTTGCAAAGCAACCCAGCACTTGGCTTGTCCAGTAGGACCTTAATACGAAACTGGATTCAGAAACAAGTCAGGGAGCTTACAGAAAAACAGAAGAAAACAATCCTGCAAGTTGTGTACATTCTTAAGCAATCCATTCCTTTGCTTCATCGACTACATCTGGCAGTGTTCTACATACATGGCACTTTTTATCACCTATCTAAAAGAATTGCAGGAATCAGATATGTAAGTGGATCTGTTAATTGTGTGAAAATCATGTGCGCTGCAGTATTTTGGCTTCCTTTGGGATGCAGTTTGCATAAAAAGAATATAGAATTTTGCTGATTATAATACAGCACAGACTGGGTGAGAAGGAGATAAGGGCAATTATGGGGGAAGGCATAATTTTGTAAAATTGAAGCAATTAAACATCTCTATTTGTGTGCATTTTGCAGCTGCACTTTGGAGGAGTACAAGGAGAAGATCAGAGCATTCGATCAAGTTACAAGTTCCTAGGAATAATTTCACTCTTCCATCTTCTTCTGACAATTGGTGTCCAGATATACAGCTTCCAACAAAAGCAGAGAGCAAGGCAGGAATGGAAACTGCACCGCAATCTAGCTCTCCAGAAGTATGTTCATTTTACTTAATTGGAAAGGTAGAAGCAATAGTGGGAAATGTAATGGCTTTCACAAACAGGGAGAGCGCTGGCATTACATTTTGACTTAAGATAGAACCTAATGTAGCATAACGTTGGACACGCTCACTTACTAAACGTCTTCGATTTCATGCCTTGCTTTTATGTGTGGGACTCTCACAGGAAGGGTTAACATTTGAAGGAAGGCTTTACAAGATTGCAAGAAATACCTATTAACACAAACAGGCCTCATAAAACTAATTAATACCTGTGTTGATTAGAAATACGATAAAGGAAAAAACTACTGGGCGCCAGTCCCGCTGCACTTTGTGTTTGGAGGAACGGAGACATGCAACAGCCACACCTTGTGGGCACCTGTTCTGCTGGGAATGCATCACCGAGTGGTGTAATACCAGAGTAAGTACAGTGGGACAAACAGCCCAGGAGTAAACATGATGAAATCTGTAGCTCGCTGTTGAAATGTTACCTTTTCCCTCCCTAAGACACCCAAAATCCTCCCAGAGGTTTGTGGGATCTGTATATTGTACTAGGATACAATACTATATGGTACTTTGATGAGGTAAATGAGATGTTTCTGATTCAGCCATTGAAATGCAATTGAATTAACTGGAGAAGTCAGGCACAGTCATAATAAAGACCCAAGCTATAATTCTGACTGCAAAGAACAGAACTGATCAATGATCTGATTTCCAGTACAACGGAATAAGTTACAAACTAATTAAGCTAACTTAAGACTATTTTTTTTTTGCATTACTGAAATAAACAACTTCCATCCATGAAGGCTTTCTATAGCTATCTTGGAATAAGGCATTATCCATTTATTTTATGAGTAAAAAATGTTTATTAAAAAAAAAAAAAAAAAGAGGTACTTACACATACAATCTTTGCCACAAGGCTTAGGCCAACACTGTAACTCTGATGCATTACTGTAGTACTTCAGATCTACTTAAATTTTCTGGCACTAATACTGATGTAGCTCTGGCAAAACAGAGTCAGGTAGTCTGATTCATTTAATGCTTTCCTAGCACAAACCAAGCTACCTTCCTTCCCACTGTACAGTTAGCAATTTTCAGTACCTCAGCTGTTGTTTCTGAAATATAAGGGAGGCAGCAGATGTTACAAAGTTCCAGCTGGATGTGCAAGTTCAATACACAATGACAGGGAACTCAAAGTTCACAAGACCTTCCTGCACAAAACAGAAGTTGAAATGAACTACTGGGTATAACTGAAGCTGGTACCTAGACAGGGCTCCTAAAACTCAAAGTGCCCTGGAATTATTTTGGGCAAAGTGATCAATAAAGAGATTAGCACTATGCAAGTTCTAATTCAGCTGTAAGCAGAAGTGGAATTAATGTAAGCATAAAGAAAAGTAATACCTCTGAAAAAGAGTATATGGCAGCATTGCTTGGCAATATTCAGGGGCAGCAGAACATGTGAAAAACATCTCAATGGCCATTTGAGATATTTCACCAGACTTCCTTGAAGGTAAAAATCTGAGAAGTCATTTCTCTTAAAGATTACGAAGTTTCTTCAACTAAAGATGTTGGAAGCTGTGTACAGCACCCGTGGATTTGAGGTCATATTTTAAACACATTTTAAACTCACCTCAAGCTGCAATTTGAGTGAGGTACCCTTTCAGAGCCTTACCTGGTTAAGCATGCAATGCAGACTGGAATAAAAAAAAAACCATGTAGTTATAGAAGCTTATTTTCTAGTTCTTGTTTAACATCGTTGGATTTTTTCTTTATTTTTAACCTTCTAAATAGAGAAATTTAGAATATCTCTTTGCTTTTTGTAGACAGAATGTCCACTGTGCAGAGAGAAGTTTCATCCTCAGAAGCTGATCTACCTACGCCACTATCAACTGTGAGGAAAAATCCATTACAAGGGCCTCTGCTCTCTTACCTTCATACAGAGTGGTCATACAGTTCAGGTTAGTCCAAGAATGAGACTTTATTGTAAAACTGGTAACTGCCTGCACAAGGTGGCACTTCATTCCTGTTGTACAAAATAAATCTATTTCTGCCTCTTTGTGTTTGTTGCTTTATGGTTCTTGACCATATTAAAAATGTCTTTCTGAAGTTGCTTAAAGAAGTGTGATAGCCTTCAAACAATGAAAGATTTAAGTCATTTTCTCTAAATTTGAGTAACACATCTTCCAGCCTTTCATAACATGCTTAAGGCATTACTAACATTCTACTATTTTTAAGACTCCCTTTAGGTAATTAACATTACAAGAGTCCATGCTATAGATTTCAGGGGAAAGCAAAAAGAAAAAACAACAAACAGTATCAGAGGATGTACACAAGTCCTCACTTCACTTGCAGTGGGACTTCTGGTGATAAAAGTATATCAACATTCAGTTTTCATAGTAAAGTTAACAATAAAGCAGCTTTCTTTGATTTGACAAAGCTTCCCTGATGAACAGAAGCAACAAATGCAAGCCCAAAGTAATATAGAATGTCTATTAATGAAATCAACATTGAGCTTTTAACCTCAAAACTCTACCATTATTACTACAAAGATTTTAATCAAGTATTCCAGACACTTAGGACTAGAGCAATGGAAGAAGTGTTTCAAAGTCACACATGCATATGTGTAACACGATGAAAAGTGCAACAGTGACAGCAGAACAGCAAGATCCCAGGCTACAGCAAGAGGCTTTGCTCAAATACAACAGCCATGGGCACAGAAACAAAGGAAAAGAAGCTGCTTACCTTCAAAAGGCCTCAGGTATGCAGGGATCTCCAGCAAGATCCCCTTGCCTCCACTGCCAGCCCTCAAAGGAGGACTGGGAAGGGGTGGATCCTGGCTCCAGCCCTTCTGATCACTCAGTACATTGCATGCACTTGAGCTCCCCTGGGCTGGCCCTGCCTTCCCACCAGGCTCCATCACAGGTGCAAGCTGTGATTTAGTATTTCTACTACAGGATACTAATAGTCAACTATGCCCAACTGTAACAAATTTGTTTTATATAACAGAGCCTACATTCTGTCTGCATGGCCTTTTCCATAGTCTAACACAGGGAAGAAGCTGATTTCAGCCACAGGCCTTCTACTCTGTTTATGGTAATAGGAACTATTTAGGCAGAGCCAGTATATGAGAGTATGAATGAGGAAGGATTCAGCAGCATTACCTCCTAAAGTTTACTTCCCTAAGTTATAATTAGTTCTGCTACACAAGCATTTAGAGCATCAGGGAAAAAATAAGATTGTCAGTTATTAACACACCATCTTATTTTTGCACAGTATGTGCAAGAGGAAGTTGATTCTATTTCTTCAATACAGGTGGAGAGGGAAATCCATGTGATCCACTGGCAGATCATGAGTTTGTTTCAATAAATCTTGCACAAATAGCACCAAACATGGGTTGGGAGGGGCAAGCTACAGGAAAAGCACTTCTTTTCACAGTTATTTGTATTGCAGAGATGTGAGCTAGTTAATTATTAAATTTTCAAGCATTATCATGAATCCTCAAATAAAATCAGATGAGTGTTTCTTTGCAACTATAAATCAAACAAAAAGTTACTGTGCAAGCACTTCAGCATTACCGTACAAAAGCTGATTTTCAGAGCTGCAATATCTTCCCCTTCTTACACTAGAAAAATTTCAGGCATCCCCATGTTTAAAACTGTAAAGAACCATGGCAGAAAAATGGTCCATATGACTCAAACATGTGCTAAGGAAACAACTGCATTATAAGCATTCTCCTTACCATGAAAAACAGTGAGGAAAGATAATCTGCACATAGAAACAAACAGGAATCAATCAGTGACTGGCAAGTCCCTGTGAAGCTGGTGAGCCAAGTTTTTCATGCATTCTGTAATGGTAATTCATCACTCCTCATTGATAAAAACAGAGCAAAGTTTAACAAAATGCTGTCAAACTTGCCTGGCCTTTGGAAGCTGAGAGTCACCTGAGGAATTACAGTCATCCTGATGTCATCCACAATATGTATTTGAAAACTGCTAACCCCACTGAATATTGAACAGCTAGCTATACATCCATTAATGAGAGGAAATCTGTTCTTACGCTGCCACTTAAGTTAGAAATCAGGTAAAGGTAAAAATCTAATTTGCAATGGCTGTTTTCCATATCTCATTGCTCAGGGGTCACTCCAATTGCTAACATTTAAAAAGAAATCATACAAATCTCCAACTCTTACCCACATATTCAGAAACTCCAGCAAACCTCCAAGTTCAGGCTTTCAGACTAAAGGGCAAAGAACTACAAGTGTCCATGATCTTTCTAGATGCAACGTTTCTGTAATTTGAAGTTAGATTAATTCCCACATTGATAAGGAAAACACAAGCTGACAAACAAAAACCAGGCCAACATCAACTGAAACTACCGTTCACTTTTCAAGGTTTGGAGAAGGCTGGATCCTAGGGCACCATGACTTCATTCAACAAAGTCATATAAAACTTTCCTATAAGATTTCCAATAAGGCATCAGTTGAAGTTGACACTGTTCTCCATTTAGAATCTTTGAAGAGCTAAACTTTATCTACCTTGTCCCAGTGAATGTTCCCTGAAGATCTAAAATAGGTCACATGAAGATAAATTCTTAGGGTAATCACTACTGCAAAGAATCCATAAATACTATTAGATCTTTCCATACGTATATTTATATATAAAGATAATAGAGAACAAGCCAAGGGGGACACTGTCTTTTAATAAATTTTGGAATTAAAAAGTCACTTAATAAAATTGCAGTTGTATCACATGAAAAAGTTTACATGCAGGTCATTTATCTGATTTTTTTTTTTTAAACTATAGAAAATGAAAATCTTTGCTAAAACTCACAAAGTTTGTCTCCTGTGGCCAGTTGGAGTATATTCTGAAGGGGCTGCACGGAGTTGGCTTAAGTTAATCAAGAAACCCTTAGGTATGAAAGAAAATCCAACTAAAACAATTAAAATATATATATTTATAATTCCAGGTCCTCAAAGGAAATTGGAATAGATTTTGAACAAAGCTTTGAGTCACCACGAAGGAACCCAATTTTAGCATCTTCTGGGAGGTGTAATGGTGAAACTGGCATTGAAACCTAACAGAAATGAGTTACTTTAGAAGCTGTGTGTGTTTTTCTCCCTACTGCAAAATCCTTACATTTGGAGATTTCTTTTTCTATTTATGACTCAGTAATATCATGCATTTAGCAAATTGGCATCTATTCAGATCTGCTGAATTTTTATATGAAAATAGCACATGGCCATGAAGCAGAAAACAGCATCATGTGTGCCACCTTTTTCCTACATGCATGCACAGCACTTCAGGGTGATACTGAGAAGAACTACATAAAAACATCAAACTCAAAGCCATTCATCTCTCCAGTGCAATGGATCCTGAAAGAAATCCGTTATCCCAAACCCAGGGGATTATCCAAAGTTTCTCCAACTCCTTACAAAAGATAAACTCAAAGCAAGTTGGTTAGAATGCCAGTTTCTTCAAGCAACTGATACTTCAGATAAAAGTAGCGAGATCCTCTTAAAATGAAACTTCAACTGCTTTGTCACAACTCAATCATTTTTATGAAGAAAAAAGGCATTGTTACAATGGCTCAAAAATCGTTCCTTTAGTTGTAAGCAGAATTGGTCAAAAGGTTGATTGCACCTTCTAGCTAGCAAAGGTCTTTCCCACATCTTCTTTCCCTTTGTATTTCCTCTTGCCGTGTGTGAAGGGTATATATCTGTACTTTATCATATGCTGTGAAGAAAAAAACACCAATTTTTAGAGACAAGAAATATAGATAATGTTTACAAAGAATGTTTCATAATACATCATATAACTGACAAAGTCCTCTAGGGAGAAAGTTCTACAGCACTTCAGAAGCTAACCATAAAGGTTAACTGGTTTAAAGAATGCTATGAGCCCGATTTTCACATTTGGTTACACTCAAACAACATAGAGAGCACAGTAAAGTTTGCTCATAAGGGGACTGCAGGGAACTCCTGCCACTTGGTTTACATTTGAGTAATGGTACTTCATCAAAATTCTGAGTGTCTGGAAAGAAAATGATTCTCCTTTTAAAACAACAAATATTAAGAATGCAATGCAGCAAACTGGACAGAGGTTGAAACAACACTGCACATTTTGACATCACAAATGCTATTCTCTGTTCTTAGCAAGTTACCTTGATTTGCCTCTTCATAGTGATACAAAACAGCATAATGAAGTACATCACAAGGATTGGCCAAAAAACAGGAACGTTGAAAGCCTCAAAGAATGTACATGCCATAGCAACCAGGATGCCTTTAGTGGCCGAGTGCCTTAAAAATAGCATTAACAATTAATCCTTCAACACCAGTCACCGTTAATTAATGCAGATATTTACACATTTCAGAAACAGAACGTGGGCAGACAGACCAACTCACCAGAATTTGAACTCTGGGAGCCTCCTAATGAAAGGCCGAAATTCTTCATTTTGCCTTGTAGGTAAGGAAGGACCATCATCTGAAGGAGAAAAAATAACAATCAACTCTCACTGTTACATAGATTCCAATTACTGTTGTGGCTTTAGTGTAACAGGGTTGGCTTCCCATTAAAAAAAAAAAATAATAAAAATAACAAAAATGAGTGCCAGGTCATTGAGTTATTGCAGGGAGAATTTAAGTCACGTACACCTCTGTCAAAACAAAGATTAACAAAATATGGAATTGTTCAAGACCGAAAAAAAAATCACTTTGGAGACCAATTTCATAGCAGTTTCTAATTTAAGCTGTATGGAGTTTTTGCAAGTTGAAGAATACAGTGTCAGACTGGAACTGCACAGCTTTACAGTATTATATCAGACAAAATGAGCCAGAAGTTTAATTAAGTTCAAAACTACTGCAGAATGAATTCACCATACCTGAATCTTCCATTAAAGAGGGATCTACCTTTGGCGACAAGAAAGCTATAAAGAGATTTAGATGGTAGATTCCCAAGGCATATGTCACAATGTACCAACCCTGAAGAAAGGGAGGAAACAAAGGAGAAAAGGTTAAAGACCTCCTGCACACCACTGTCAGATATTTTCAATCAAACAATT